TCTTTGATGGTACAGGCAAGGTAACAACCAATAAAATTGAAACTAGAGCTACTTACGACAGTCTTCCTCATCTGAATGATCCTCGCAGTCCCATGCACCGTCACATCGCAGATTCAGGCTGATGCATTGCTTTGAACTCGTACACTGGAACTCACTGCTCGTGTTGCAATCGTGAACAGCTACAATAAAAATCAAAATTTGTCAATGTTAAAGAATACAAGCAGCCTGATGGCTGAGATAGTTCCTCTGTTAGCAATGCACATTTCAGTTAAAGAACTGAAGATATTGTTAGAAAATGAACAATATGTATAGTATCAAAGCAATCGGACTTGCTGTTTTTAACAAGAATTAAAAAATATCACTATTTACCAAAAATGACAAAAATATTCACCAAAATTAGAGAACTAAAGATATCATCACAAAATGAACAAATCTGAGAGACGTCTATCTGTACCGGTAGTACCTATATATATAATAGCAAAGCAATCAGACTTGCGGTTTTCAACAAGAAGTCGCGAATATCACTTTTTCCCAAAAATGACAAAAATATTCACCAAAATTAGAGAACTAAAGATATCATCACGAAATGAAAAAATCTGAGAGAGGCCTATCTGTAGTACCTATATATATAATAGCAAAGCAATCAGACTTGCGGTTTTTAACAAGAATTAAAAAATATCACTTTTTACCAAAAATATTCACCAAAATTAGAGAATTAAAGATATCATCACGAAATGAACAAATCTACGAGAGGTCTGCCCAAGGTACATATACACCAAGTATCAAAGCATTCAGGCTTGTAGTTTTCAAGAAGAAGTCGAAAAAGTAAAAAGTTTACACGGTCGACGGACGGACGCCGAGGGAGAATCACTCATATGATAAGCTCAGCTCGACAGAGGAGCTAAAAATGATATCTGATTTATTAGTAATCCAATATCATGAGTCATTTGGTAGACATTCTTTACTGAAATTACACTGAAAATTCATATACAGCAAAAACAACTGCATGCAACTTACGACAGTTGACTTCATCACTTCCATCAGCACAGTTACTGATTCCATCGCACACCCAAACAAGTGAGATACACCTCATAACACTTGTGCAAGAAAAATACCCAGGTGCACAAACGTGTGATTCTGGAAATTGAAAAAAAAATTATCTAGCATTCATTTTTACAAAACGTTGTCAAATATACTTTATATTTGACAACATAAAATGTGGTTAATTGTCAAGAAGATTTCATCAAAAGAAAAACAAATTGGCATGCATAATAAATTTAAACAAAAATCAGTGAAGGACCATTAAGAAAATAGGACATTGCCGTCTGTCGGCCATTTTGAATCAAATCATGAAGTATAAAGATAATGTACCTTGAATCAAAGTTTCAGCATAAACATTCAACAATGAAAAATGATGCATGTGTATTATCAGTAGTGATTATTATACTATTAAGTCAAAAAGTTTGGAAACAAGATAGGTCAAAGGTCAAGATAATCAATAAGCTTACCACAATCTTTTTCATCCGACCCATCCCCGCAGTCATTGTCTGTGTCACACTTCCATTGTGTAGAAATGCAATTACCATTATCACAAGTAAAATCAGAACTGCTACAGGAAGGTGGTACTGCAACCAACAAACAAACAAACAAACAAACAAACAAACAAACAAACATCAAGTGTCAATATTGTTGATTTTTAATATTTTGTGAAATTAAGTTTAGTTTAACTTAACGTAACACTGACACTTTTTTGTTTTTCTGTCATATCTTTATTGTTTTTTGTACTGTTTTTCTAATGTTTTCATTTGTTCCAGCTTCTTTGTTTTCCCTATATGTATTTCGTATATTCGCAAATAAAAAAATATTGAAAAAAACAAACAAAAAAAAACATCAAGTGTCAACATACACTATACAAAATAGGCTTATCTCTACATGCTTTGATCAGATATACATTCTCCATAATACAATGTTAGAGGGCATACTATACTAAAGTATACTACGAGACACTAGATACGCGAGTATATGTCCTTTGGTGTCATGACATATCCTCACCATTTTGCTGTTAATGTTGACTCCTGTTCCGCTGGCGATGCAGAGGGCATAGAGAGGCAAGATTCATGAACATACAAATCTATATTAACAGTGTCCAGAATCATCAAAAATATTCACTATATACGAGATTATTCACAAAATATTGTCACAGTGATTTATGTTTTTTCTCCAGGTATTGTTTTCGATGCGAAGCATCACTGACAATACCTAGCTTATGATGCACGAGAATGTAAATTCTGGTATTTTGTGTATAACCTCATTATTATGAAAACCAGAGCAGTATAAAGATGAGTTTGTACAGTGTTGGGTTTGCGTAACATTTTTTTTTGCATATTAACATCCAATGTTGCCTCGGATCCACTATCCTCCGCACCACCTGCTATCTGCTGTTTCAATCTCTCAGACTGAGTTTTGGGGTGTAATGGGGAAAATCATGGGCAGGAATAGTGACATTTAAAACTTTATCGTGTTGTTTTAAAACTTTTGAAATATTTCACTAAATAAATTTACACAAGAGAAAATTGGTTTGAAAAGTGGTTATGAACATCTACCATTAAGACGACAGTATTCTGTCTAGTCTTCTGTAGGTACTACATGTTTTAATACTCTCTGATATTCAAATACACTTGTTGGACAGTTTTTACAGCTACTACATGTATGAAAGCACTGAAGAGAGATTACAGCCTTTCTTATGGTCTGATCGAGAATAAAAACAAACACCAATTTGCACCAATGAAGTGTTCACGTGTAATGTATTCAATTATGCAAATTTCCAATACGTCACTGAATAGTGGCAAATTATTTCTAAAGGCACAAGGGATATTTTAGCTGAGCTTTTTGAAAAGTTTACACAACAGATGCTGAACAAAGATTTTGTCTATAGCTGGGCTAACAACAGGTATTCACTTACTGCAGTCTTCTTCATCAGAATTATCTCCACAGTCGTTGTCCCCATCACATTGCCAGTTTGCCATTATACACAGATTGTTAGCACAGGTGAATGCCATGGGTGAACACGTATGATCTACAGAAGAAAACAACAAGTGTCAATCAGTGGGACTGTAAAAAAAACGGCGTTGAAACTAATTTGTTGATGTTGGATGTTAGTTATAATGGTTGATAGTATCAATTGAATTCTTGTTTGTACATAAAGAATGTAAACAGACAGGTGTGACTCAAGATAAAAATATCTAATTTTAAGTTACATAAATAAACGCGAAGATATCAAATTTGAAGATACATAAACGCAAAGATATTTTTGAGGTATTTCCACCGTCAATAACAAGCTATACAAATGTAGATGATGGTTAATTTTGACAAAATAATGCCATTTGAGCTTTTGCAAAACACTGCATTTCAAAGTTCAAAATCAAACTATTTTTGCGACAGATATTTGGTCCACACTTTTCACAAGATTTTGAAGCGAACGGTAAACCACCTATATTGCGACATGATGACAAAATTGCAAAATAAACATGCATTTCTAGAATTACTAATTTGAATAGCTACAGTAAGAAAAAATATTTTCATGTTCATGTTCATCTCAATCTGCTGAAATAGCATCCTTAGCTGAGTATAGTGTATGTTTTCACATTACTGTTTCCATGTTTACTGCTTAAAATCAAAAAAAAAAAAAAAAAAAAATACCATACTACTGGATTCTGTTGTAAATTCGCCCTGGGCCATTAAACTGCAGTTTGGGTTCTTAAAAAATAAAATGAGGCAATTTATTTTTCGTTTTTTTCAGCCTTTTTTTTTTTAAGGTGTATTTTTTTAATATTTTGGCGTCATTGCTCGGACATTTCAATAATTTCTGACACCAAAAATAGTCTAATTTAAGTTTTACAGTAGTCATTGATGCCTATTCAAGAGTATGATGTTTATTGTGACTAGTGTGAACAATGAGCTGTTATCACTGTAAACAATGTTAAATTATTCTTCAAATGCTCAGTTTATCTTTTGAAAAAAACTAATTTTTTGAATTAAAAAAATAAATTATGCAGTTTTCCCATCAAAATCCAAGCCAAAAAAATCGTACTACAACATTAAATCCCCTTCGTGTTGGTTCAATTATACTAACATATTTAATGAGCTATGGTAATTTGAACACATTGGCATCATCCATCATTTTGATTGATTAATTAGTGATTTGACCTACCATCCCAGGTCAAAACATGGCATGTAATCTCCAGCATTTAATATGAGACCAGAATCATTTGCTTACGATGAAAACTAAGTTGAATTTTTTTTTGAATTTCATAACAATTCAACGAATATATTATTTGTATGTTATTACTATAATCAACAATTGTGAAACGTAGCATGACTGGATTTTGCTATCGTGATCATTTGTATTCGGTTTTATTTGTATAATAAAATTTCAAAAAATTATTGTATTTGGCGTACCAGGTTTGTTAATGTGATTTAATTTGGAGAAAGATGGCACTTTTTAATTCAGCAAGAAAAAAATGTATCAAATTTTTGATAAGTTTCTTTCGTCCTGGCCGGTCCAACTGCGTAGGTGGATTTTTCAATGAAGATAGAAGTCCCAAAAAAATATTTTATGATAATTTTTTGAAATTTTTAACCTCAAATAAGGGCCCACCAGCTGTGAAATCACCCAGGGCGATTTTTTGGATAGGCCAGTTTATGACAGAATACAGTATTTGGAAACAAAAAATCATGTGACCTTTGCTCCAAGTGATATTTTTGTGTAGGACATACAGCTACAAATTCAAGGTTACACTTATCACCTTCACAGTTTTCTTCATCACTGTTGTCATGGCAATCATCCTCCCCATCACACCGCCAAAATTTATATACACACCGACTATTGTTACAAGTGAATGAGTATTCCGGACAAAGATCTATTGGCGACTCGTCAGGGTCTGCAATACATGACTGTGAATATTGAGAAATAAAGTAATACGAGATTAATAACCAACTGACAATGAGATAACAGTGAACAAATAAATAACAGATATGCAGCAATCAATAATCAAAGAAAGCTTATAAAGAACTCCTGTGTGCTGAGAGAATTGAAAACATATTAAAAAATTAAGAATCTTAAAACTCTCATATTTACCAGGGTCTTTGACAACAACTATTATATATATATAAATTGTACAGCGCCTCTGAACAATACATTGTATTGGATACTGGCGCTATATAAATTCCATTGATTGATTCATTGATTAATTAGTCTTCCAAACAAGAAGCCCAGCAACTAATAAATGTTTGCTATTTGAAATGCACACCGTGAAAACAATATGGTCCACATTATTGAAGTTTATTACACTTACAGAAAATACATTTAATCTGTAGTTTTTAGTCTAATTTATTCCAGCACAAGTAAGATTTTTTGGCTAATAATAATTAGATAATCAATATGCATGATTTTAAGGATGCCGTACATGTTTTTGGTATTGATTTTCTAAACTGATATTTTCATATAAAATATTTACTGAACCACACAAAGCCATATATTGATGGAAAGCCTATTTCACACTGGATATGAAATCGACAAGATAGTGTGTGTATGGACATGTAAAGTCACGTGATCTCTGTGTAAACACAGAAAGCTATTTTCGGTAAAAAATAATTGAATCAATGAATAAACGAATTTAGTGGAACATTGGCAACAAAACAGTTTTTCATATGATGCTCACCACCTTTCAGCGTTGAATGAGATATATATCTACATGATAGTTGGAGAAGAAATATTAATTTAGCTATCTTGAAAAAACAATGCTATCTGGTTCATCCCAGTATTCAGAAATTATAACGTAATTTCGAAACAAATAGGAAAATAGAAAAATCCCAGCGCTGCTTAAGAGAGAACATATTGAAGAGTGTCCGTGCGAAAAATTAGTATAATGTGTCCACTAGAACTTGAGATCAAAGGCCTGCAGTTGCCATGAACCGCTGTTTTTTTTAACCGAGAAAACGGCAAAAACAGCAGCAACGTATCGTCGGCTAACTCAAAATCCGTTTGTCCCATGGATCAAAACAAACTCATAACAACTAGTCATGGTATCTGTCTGTCATAATCACGCAGATATGCGTGGTCGCAATTGGTTATAAAGTACGAAATTATGCTTCCGAATCCAATAGGAAAAACTGTTTCACGGCATGACAAAGCCGCGCCAAAATGACGTCATGATTTACATATTCATTATTAAGTTGTGGGAGAAGACACTCCTTTTCTGGAAGACTCATTACCATACATTGCCCTCCATGGAAGTATTAAATTCTCTTGTTCCGCTGCTGAACCAATATCCGTGGCTGAACGCACCACCAGAGTCAACTACATGTAGTTTTCTTTCCAAGACTTTTTTTTTTTACTACGCAAGATGTCTCAACGAAGATTTGTATTATCTGATTTGAATGGCAATTAGGGGGAGAGAAGTCACAGCGAGTGCTGAACTGAATCGGGAGATGCGATCGCTTGGGTTTAAAGTTGTCTGTCGATCAGGAGGTGAATTTTCAGTTTGTTTGCTCTGTTATTATTTTTTAGATTTGTAAAATAACCTGTTCACCATAAAACATGTTTTCCGTTTTTTAGTTCCCAAAACTGTTGTGACAAAATTAATGTGATGATTCTTTTTCCATCTACCGGTATCGGAAAATCCGCTGGCGGGGACTACTGTCGGTATCTTACATTCAGTTCACTTTCTATATCATGTATAACAAATCTAACTTCATTGAATCCGTCAAGTTATTTATTGAGAATGTGAAGATTAAGAAAAATAAAACAGGTAAAACAAGGATGCTCACACACACAGACGCGTACGTTTTCTTTTACAGCTGGCTTGTCTCAGGCTTTATGTGTAATTTTATGTGTGTTTCACTCTCGGGCGCAAAAGTCAACTGACAACATGTGGTCGAATCAGAGAGAGAAAGATCAAAACAACAAAGCAATATGAACACATCCTGCTCAACATGTAAGTGAAGAATGAAATCATTGTTTGGTACATACCATCTGGGTTCCAGTATCGATCTTCATTCCATAGGGACAGCCACAATGTCTTGTAAATGACGGCATAGGGAAACAAAAATGACTACAGTCCCCATTCTGTCCATGCCTTGAGCATGCATTTTCACCTTGGGATTTAAAAAAAAAAAAAAATTGTTGGAAGTTAATTATTAAATGATATTATCTGTCATCGTAACGCCATGAGTTACAGCGTGGCATAATTTTGCTGTATTTTATGGGGTATTTTCATCCTGCCATATAAAGAAATGCGAATTCCAAATATGGAATGATTACGCATACAAGCGTCCTCCAAGAATAACAAGTCATTGAAAATGACACAGTCCCCGTTAAATTTTTGAAAGTTCTCTTTGTGCTCATCATATTAAAGCTGAGGGGTTGTCGCGAGCGTGTCCTTGAAACTTCAGTTCCAAGTGACGCATACAACAGATTGTAGAACAGGTGTTCCGTGTAGTAGTAATATGCCCAAAAATAAAAATTGCCGTTATTTGACCATCTTTGATCTGATTATGAAACACACTGATATGTATGATGTATGTACCAAATACGAATGAAAATGGTACATAAATTATGGAAATATAGTAGTAAGGCCAAAAAGTCGGATGGCTGTCAATCGGCCATCCTTGACCAGATTTTGAAACAAATTGTCATGGACATGCATCCTAACATGTATAAAGTACATGTATGTGCCAAATTTGGATGAAAACTGAGAGAGCACGTCCAAGATAGCACATGAAAAACCAAACCAAGATGCCTGCCAGTCGACCATCCTTAATCCAATTGTGAAATAAATTGTCATGGACATGTATCCATGTATAATCTATGTACCAAGTTTGAATGACAACTGACAAAGCATGTCCAAAATACAACATTTAAAAAAAAACAAGATGGCTGCCAGTCGGCCATTTTGAATCGAATCGCTAAACCACTGCATGTGCATATGTCCCACATAAGGTACTATGTACATGCAAAGAATGAACAGAATCGGTCCACAGGATTCTGAAATATGACTCTGGACAGACTGACGCATAGACGGACGGACACACGGACAGACAGACAGACTCAGGAACCCATGGACGGTCGGGTACATGTATCCTAACACGTATGATCTATGTACTAAATTTGAATGAAAACTGACAAAGCATGTCCAAAATACAACATTTTCAAAAAACAAGATTGCTGCCAGTCGGCCATCTTTGATCCAATTGTGAAATAAATCGTCATGAACATGTATCCTAACATGTATGATCTATGTACCAAGTTTGAATGAAAACTGACAAAGCATGTCCAAAATACAACTTTTTCAAAAAACAAGATGGCTGCCAGTCGGTCATATTGAATCGAATCGTTAAACCACTGCATGTGCATATGTCCCACATAAAGTACTAGGCACATGCAAAGAATGAACAGAATCGGTCCAAGGGATTCTGAGATATGACTCCGGGCGGACGCACGGACACCGAATCATAAGTCTAAAAACAAACATGGCTGCCACCAGGGTTTGATCAGACTCCACACAAAAAAAGTCCACTGTTTCCGTTCAAAATTTTTTGGATTTCGGCATTCCCATGAAACATTCTTAGAAGGAAAAGATGTATAATAATAAGGTTATTACAAGGATACCTCAAGGTATGCACTCAGACAGTACTTCGCTGCATCGTTGTGTGTCGGTTGATACTCCCGATGTACTGCCTTCGCACATACTTTGAGGTATCCTCGTAATAACCTCATATTACTATATACTGCTTTAATTTCACAAGAAATTACTTTCTCATAAAAGACAAATAATAGTGACAAGTCAGTTCCAAAAATCTCATGAAATCACAACACACATATCCAGAAATACACTATTGTTTTTGTAAATCAAAGAGAATCATAAAATTGTGTAACAGAGCCATGGAGTGTCAGCAACTTTCACAAAAAATTTGTTTTCCCAAATGCTATAGAATAAACAAATCAACATCTGTAGCAGTAAAAATAAGCCATTGTTAATGATATAGTCCCCGCTTGTATTTAAAAAACGTAAACTATAAATATTTGTTAAGTTAATCTACAGGTCTCAATTAACCTTTTCACAACCAGTTCCCTCTTTTCACCACAAATTCACAAAATAGTTCTGTATAGTCTGCACTTTCCTTCGAAAAATTGGCACAAAAATAGCCAATTGTTTTTTTTAGTTAAAACTGAATATTGACTGAAATTTCATCTGTTGGCTCAAAAATGAGGATATTAGAAAAACAAATTTTAGCGAGATTGTCAGGATAATATCACTGTACATATGACTCATCAATCAAGGTCCCACTTTAGAATATAGTATATATGGATTGTATTGAAGTTCTCAAGCAATGCAATAATTTATCTTAACAAAAATCAGCAAGAAAAAAATAGATTAATTAGCTTAAATATATTAAAAATTATATAAAAAGGAAATAAATGTATACACAATCAAAATAACATATCAGTATTGCAGTAGGTGAATATTATAATACATCTTAGACTGTCATCAAATGCTAGTAATGTACATATCCATTGTGTGCATGTACTTGTATTCATGTTTAACCATGAAATGTTGCATGCAAAATTAAACTAAAACCAAACTTCTTCATGATTACCCAGAGCAATGTGATGATTATTCATTTTATGCAAATAAGTTAATTAATATGCATGATTCTTAACCTAATATGGCAATAGTTGAATTTCCTCTCTTACCTGATTGCATGTTAATATCATAAACTTTTATATTAGTTGCGTCATTCAAACCTTCTCGGATGATGACTGTTGCAGAACCATTCACTCTTTGTATCTTGTTGAATCCAGCATCCAATAAATAAATAAAATCTTAAAAATAACAAGGCATTGTTAATGATACAGTCCCTGTTGCAATTGCCGGAAATGTTATGTTTGCCTATTAAAGATAAAGTAATATGGCCAAAAAGCAAGATAGCCACCAATCAGTCAACTTTGATCTTATTATGAAACAAATTGTCATGGGAATATATCGTAACATGTATATTGTATGTGCCAAATTTGAATAAAAAGTGACCGAGTATGTCCAAGATACTACATTTTCAAAAAAAAAATGGCTGTCAGTCGGCCATGTAGGATAGAATCACTAAGCCACTACATGTGCATACATCCCACATAAAGTACTTTGGCACATGCAAAGAATGAACAAACTCAGTCCAGAGGATCTTAAAATACTTTAGAATACTTTATTTTCGCTTGGAATTTATTTTCGCTATTTTCGCTGAAGGGATGATTCTGTGAAAATAAAATCCAGCGAATATACTTTTTTTCCTATATTTCCTATTAAACTCATGAAAAATCAGTGAAAATAAATTCCAAGCAAAACGCCCAAAAAGCTTTTTCAGCGAAAATTAATTCCAGCGAAAATAAAGTATTCCACAGTATGTCTGAAAGATGTAGGAGACTAATACAAGTCCCTTTTTCAAACTTTATTTGAATGGAGACTAATAAAAATATATTCTATTATGTAAGTATAACTAACAAAATGTGCTATAAAAGCACACCTTTAATAAATTTAAGATCACTTGATTTCCTCTATCAGAATCACACTTGCAACAGAACTACTTTTATATATATATTCACTAAAAAAATATCTACTTTTAGCTTAGAAATTTTAGAAAATAGTCCAAGAAGAAAAAAACAGTACATATAGTCAAATTAATGAAAGTAAAATACCTTACCTCCATTCACAGTTATGGACACCGGCTGAGACGTGCTTTGGACACTGATGGTTTGACGGGATGATCCATCAAACTCAGATCGCTCTATTTTGTTGAGCTGTAAATATGTTGTAAAGAGATCAAGGGTAGCATGTGAATATATAAACAATCTTCTTTTCAAAAGTAAACTTACCTAACTTTACAAGACAACATTTTAATAACTTTTCCTTTAATGACTAAGCCTACTTATCTTTACAACTTTCCCTTTTATGACCAAGCCTACTTATCTTTATAACTTTCCCATTTATCACTAAGCCTACTTATCTTAATAACTTTTCCTTTTTATGACTAAGCCTACTTATCTTTATAACTTTCCTTTTATGACTAAGCCTACTTATCTTTATAACTTTCCTTTTATGACTAAGCCTACTTATCTTTATAACTTTCCTATTATGACTAAGCCTACTTATCTTAATAACTTTTCCTTTTTATGACTAAGCCTACTTATCTTTATAGCTTTTCCTTTTATGACTACGCCTACTTATCTTTATAACTTTCCTTTTATGACTAAGCCTACTTATCTTTATAACTTTCCTTTTATGACTAAGCCTACTTATCTTTATAACTTTTCCTTTTATGACTAAGCCTACATATCTTTATAACTTTCCTTTTTATGACTAAGCCTACTTATCTTTATAACTTTTCCTTTTATGACTAAGCCTACTTATCTTTATAACTTTCCTTTTATGACTAAGCCTACTTATCTTTATAACTTTTCCTTTTTATGACTAAGCCTACTTATCTTTATAACTTTTCCTTTTATGACTAAGCCTACTTATCTTTATAACTTTCCCTTTTATGACTAAGCCTACTTATCTTTATAACTTTCCTTTTATGACTAAGCCTACTTATCTTAATAACTTTTCCTTTTTATGACTAAGCCTACTTATCTTTATAACTTTTCCTTTTATGACTAATCCTACTTATCTTTATAACTTTCCTTTTATGACTAAGCCTACTTATCCTAATAACTTTTCCTTTTTATGACTAAGCCTACTTATCTTAATAACTTTTCCTTT